ATATATATATATATATATATATATATATTTTTTTTTTTTGGTTTGTTCAACCACAAGGTATGGTGAATGAGACCGTTTATCCACCGAGGCAGGGTGACCCAAAAACAAAAAGAAAGAAAATCCCCAAACAAGGAAAATTACTCTTTATCATCATTTCAAAACTATTTACACACACCTTCTGCAGACATTATCACTGTTTGTGAAGTTGTGCTTTCGGCAATACAACAGTCCAGAAGCATAACATATAAAGACACACAACATATCCTCAATACTGCCAATTTCAAACCCTCTTCTTTAAAGTGCAGGCATTGTATTCCCATTCCAGGACTCAGTCGACCTAATGAAAATAAACCGAAGATTATCCCCTGAAAATCCCTTCACTAAATATTACACTGCACACACTCCAACATATCGTCAGGTCCCAAGTACCATTCGTCTCCATTCACTCCTATCTAACACGCTCACGCACGCTTGCTGGAAGTCCAAGCCCTTGCCCACAAAACCTCCTTTACCCCCTCTCTCCCAACCCTTTCGAGGACGACCCCTACCCCGCCTTCCTTCCCCTATAGATTTATATACTTTCCATGTCATTCTACTTTGATCCATTCTCTCTAAATGACCAAACCACCTCAACAACCCCTCTTCTGCCCTCTGACTAATGCTTTTATTAACTCCACACCTTCTCCTAATTTCCACACTCCGAATTTTCTGCATAATATTTACACCACACATTGCCCTTAAACAGGACATCTCCACTGCCTCCAACCATCTCCTCGCTGCTGTATTTACCACCCAAGCTTCACACCCATATAAGAGTGTTGGTACTACTATACTTTCATACATTCCCTTCTTTGCCTCCATAGATAACGTTTTTTGACTCCACATATACCTCAACGCACCACTCACCTTTTTTCCCTCATCAATTCTATGATTAACCTCATCCTTCATAAATCCATCCGCCGACACGTCAACTCCCAAGTATCTGAAAACATTCACTTCTTCCATACTCCCTCCCCCCAATTTGATATCCAATTTTTCTTTATCTAAATCATTTGACACCCTCATCACCTTACTCTTTTCTATGTTCACTTTCAACTTTCTACCTTTACACACATTGCCAAACTCATCCACTAACCTTTGCAATTTTTCTTTAGAATCTCCCATAAGCACAGTATCATCAGCAAAAAGTAACTGTGTCAATTCCCATTTTGAATTTGATTCCCCAAAATTTAATCCCACCCCTCTCCCGAACACCCTAGCATTTACTTCCTTTACAACCCCATCTATAAATATATTAAACAACCATGGTGACATTACACATCCCTGTCTAAGACCTACTTTTACCGGGAAGTAGTCTCCCTCTCTTCTACACACCCTAACCTGAGCCTCACTATCCTCATAAAAACTCTTTACAGCATTTAATAACTTACACACCTATTCCATATACTTGCAACATCTGCCACATTGCTCCTCTATCCACTCTATCATATGCCTTTTCTAAATCCATAAATGCAATAAAAACTTCCCTACCTTTATCTAAATACTGTTCACATATATGCTTCAATGTAAACACTTGATCTACACATCCCCTACCCACTCTGAAACCTCCTTGCTCATCCGCAATCCTACATTCTGTCTTACCTCTAATTCTTTCAATTATAACCCTACCGTACACTTTTCCTGGTATACTCAGTAAGCTTATTCCTCTATAATTTTTACAGTCTCTTTTGTCCCTTTCCCTTTATATAAAGGGACTATACATGCTCTCTGCCAATCCCTGGGTACCTTCCCCTCTTTCATACATTTATTAAACAAAAGACCAACCACTCCAACACTATATCCCCCCCTGCTTTTAACATTTCTGTCATGATCCCATCAGTTCCAGCTCCCTTTAAACCCCCTTTCATTTACGTAATGCCTCACGTACCCCCCCCACACTTACATTCTGCTTTTCTTCACTCCTAAAAGATGGTATACCTCCCTGACCAGTGCATGAAATTACTGCCTCTGTTTCTTTCCTTAACATTTAAAAGTTCCTCAAAATATTCTCGCCATCTACCTAATACCTCCATCTCCCCATCTACTAACTCCCCTACCTGTTTTTTAACTGACAAATCCATATTTCCCTAGGCTTTCTTAACTTGTTTAACTCACCCAAAATTTTTTTCTTATTTTCATTAAAATTTCTTGACAGTGCCTCTCCCACTCTATCATCTGCTCTCCTTTTGCACTCTCTCACCACTCTCTTTACCTTTCTTTTACTCTCCATATACTCTGCTCTTCTTATAACACTTCTGCTTTGTAAAAAAATCTCATAAGCTACCTTTTTCTCTTTTATCACACCCTTACTTCATCATTCCACCAATCACCCTCTTTCCTCCTGCCCCCACCCTCCTATAACCACAAACTTCTGCCCCACATTCTAATGCAAATTTTTTAAAAATATTCCAACCCTCTTCAAAACCCCCCCCCTACTCATCTTTGCACTAGCCACCCCCTTTTTGCCAATAGTCGCTTATATCTCACCCGAACTTTCCCCCTCCCTTTGTTTATACACTTTCACCTCCTCTACTTGTTGTTGCCACCTTCCTCTTTTTCCCCTCTACCTCTTACTCTAACTGTAGCTACAACTAAATAATGATCCGATATATCAGTTGCCCTCTAAAAACATGTACATCCTGGAGCCTACCCATCAACCTTTTATCCACCCTACATAATCTAATAAACTACTTTCATTACGTGCTACATCATACCTTTTATATTTATTTATCCTCTTTTTCTTAAAATTGTATTACTTATTACCAAAATTTTTTTCTTACACATAGCTCAATTAAAGGCTCCCCATTTACATTTAAACCCCCGGCACCCCCAAATTTACCTATACTCCCTCCATAACATTTTTACCCACTTTAGCATTGAAATCCCCAACCACCATTACTCTCACACTTGATTCAAAACTCCCCCCGCATTCACTCAACGTTTCCCAAAATCTCTCTCCCTTCCCTCTACACTTCTCTCTTCTCCAGGTGCATACCGCTTATTATAACCCACTTTCACATCCAATCTTCATTTTACTCCACATAAACCTTGAATTAATACATTTATAGTCCCTCTTTTCCTGCCATAGCTTATCCTTCAACATTATTGCTACTCCTTTAGCTCTAACTCTATTTGAAACCCCTGACCTAATCCCATTTATTCCTCTCCACTGAAACTCTCCCACCCCCTTCAGCTTTGTTTCACTTAAAGCCAGGACATCCAGCTTCTTCTCATTCATAACATCCACAATCATCTCTTTCTTATCATCTGCACAACATCCACGCACATTCAGACTTCCCACTTTGACAATTTTCTTCTTCTTATTCTTTTTAGTAATCTTTACAGGAAAAGGGGTTACTAGCCCATTGTTCCCGGCATTTTAGTTGACTTTTACAACACGCATGGCTTACGGAGGAAAGATTCTTATTCCACTTCCCCATGGATATAAAAGGAAAATTAATAAGACCAAGAACTATTAAGATAAAATCAAAGAAAACTCAGATGAGTGTGTATAAATAAATGTGTACATGTATGTGTAGTGTGACCTAAGTGTAAGTAGAAGTAGCAAGACATGCCTGTAATCTTGCATATTTATGAGACAGACAAAAGACATCAGCAATCTACCATCATGTAAAACAATCACAGGCTTTCGTTTTACACTCACTTGGCAGGACGGTAGTACCTCCCTGGGTGGTTGCTGATATATATATATACCTATATATATATACCTACTATTAATATAATTTATATATATATTTATATATATATATATATATATATATATATATATATATATTTATATATATATATATATATATATATTATATATATATATTTTTTTTTTTTTTTTTTTTTTTTTTTTACCAATAGGAATATTTTATTACATAATATGGTACAGAAGATTTAAGAGATACATTGTTGATATAAAGGTGGCATATACGGTACATGTTGTTACGTGTGTATCACCAATTATAAGGCGAAAATCTCATTCTAGGTAGTAGGTTAGTGGACAGCAACCACCCAGGGAGGTATTACTGAAGCCTGTACTTGTTTTACATGATGGTGGGATTGCTGGTGTCTTTTCTCTGTCTCGTAAACATGCAACATTTCAGGTACGTCTTGCTACTTCTACTTACACTTAGGTCACACTACACATATATGTGCAAGCATTTATATACACACCCCTCTGGGTTTTCTTCTAGTTTCTTACTAGTTCTTGTTCTTGTTTATTTCCTCTTATCTCCATTGGGAAGTGGAACAGAATTCTTCCTCTGTAAGTCATACGTGTTGTAAGAGGTGACAGGAGCAAGGGGCTAGTAACCCCTTCTCCTGTATAAATGTACTAAATTTAAAAAGAGAAATTTTTGTTTTTCGTTTTAGGTTACCCTGCCTCGGTGGGATGTGGTGAGTTTGTTGAAAAAAAACATGTATTTATATACATACATACATATGCATGCATACATACATGTCTACTCCATACTTCTTCCCTCCAGTCTAATAATCAGACTGTCATTGCTAGATTTTTCGTTGCTTTCATCACCTTGCTCTTTTTTATATTCATTTCTAATTTCCTTCTTTTACATATTCTTCCAAATTCATCTACTAACCTTTGCAACATATTTTCAGTCTCTGCTGAAATAGCTGTGTCATTGCCAAATAACCTCAGTGATAACTCAAATGTGCATTAAAAGTCTCTGGTGGATCATAATATTCTTCACAGTTAGTTTTTGTGTAAATTTTAGTGTTATAGAGAAAACAGAATCATAAAAAGTGTAAATTAGTGTAACAATTTATACATTTGTTTTATTTTTCATCCAAGACTGTTCAATATTTTTTCTTTAAATTAGTGTGCTTTTAAATAAGAGAACTGCAGAAACAGTGTAAAAACTTAACTGGTAGTTGAAATTACTGTAGAATGATATGACATTATGTTAATTGATAAGTTTGTTTCATCAATACAGGTATTCAAGTTGGTAGTGGCAGAATTACAGCAGCAAGTTTCAAAATTGGTGCCACCACTCTCACAGGACTTTTGGTCAGGAAGTGAAGAGGTGTGTTGGTCACAGGAGAACAAGGTTAGTGAGGTACCATACTAGTAAAATAAGTCCCTGCTGTGTAGAGACATTTATTTAAGTTTCCTTTAAATAAACTTCCATCTGCAGGGTTTTCTGTCATTGCCCATTTCGACTGGAAAGACCTCTTTGAATCGTTTGTTCAGTATTTTTGCTGACTTTTGTCATTTTCCATACTCTTCTGCTTTCTTCAGTCATATTACTTGGTCTTTTATTGCTGTTTTTCTTCTTATGTGGCTGTGAAACGGTTTTGGTACAGACTTGGACTTGGCTGCTGTGTCATTTTCAAGTTTTTACTCAGCCTCTCTCCTCAACCTTACATATTCATTTCTGGCTAATCTACTCACTTCCCTTATCTCATCTGTTCTTTGCTTCCTATAGTTTATCCATACTCTTATGCTTTTCCTTTTTGCCTCTGCATCTTTGGTTAAACCAAAGGCTATCTGTGTCTTTTCTATTTCCCATTCTTCATCTAGGTATGAAGTTTTCTTCTGCCTTCGGGAACTTCTCAGTTATGTTTTCCATCATCTCATCTAATGACTTTTCCTCTAGTTCCCTTTCCCACTGCACTGAATTCAAGAATTCCCTCATTCTGCAAGGTTTCCTCCTTTAAAGTCAAGCTTCTCGCTTGCCAATATTTCCTCTGTTTAGTTCCATAAGGTACTCAAAGTTCAGTGCTGCATAGTTGCTGGCACCCAGGGGCCTCTTGTATTCTACTTTTCCTGTGTCAGACATGCTTGCAGTAAGCACTGGGTCCAGCCTTACTGGCACTTTTCTTCCTCTCTTGTTGTACTTGTAACATGCTGGGATCTAAAGCTTTCCCTGATCAACTCCTTCTGTTTACCTCTCCATGTTTCCAGTACTCCTATAGGTCCTGTTTGCTCAATCCATTTTGTATGTATCACTGCAACTTCTACTTTGGGTCCCCCAGTATTAACCGAGTCCACTATGAAGTTGTGTGCCTCTTGTCTGTTTATATCCCTTACACCTTTTCAAAACCATGGATTTCTGACTTGGAGTGCCACTCCTCCACCTCCCCTGTTTTCTCTATCTTTCCTTATTACTTGATATCCAGCTGGAAAAATGACATCTGATATCAAGTCGGTCAGGTTTGTCTCTGATGGCTTTGATGTTTGGATTTAACTCGGCTACTCTTTCCTTCAGCTTGTCACCATCTGCAATGGTATACTATGCTCTTAGCTTACTTTCCCTTATTGTATGTAAGTTTGCACTGTCTCGTTCCTCTGCATGATGCTCACCCAATAGGAGTGTGGGAGGTCAGGCTGAGGTTGGTGTACTCATCATTACTGGGTGTGTAGCCAGGGGTAGGGTTGCAGGCAGGGAAGGGTAAAGAGAAGTGGGTGGGGCAAAATGGTGATAGGTAATGGGTTGGTGTTAACCATTTCAGGGTTTGTCCTGTAGTTCTATGGCTTTGAAGCCATGGTCCAAACTGTAGAACTATGGCTTGAGCTCAACTCACTCATATAACCAGTGAGTGGCAAATTTGGGCCTAGATATGAGAGAACACATCATGCACCACATAAAATAAATCCTGCAACACGCAGTGCATAATGAGAAAAAAAAACTGCAACCATAATTTTGGATTAAAACAGCGACTTTGCAGTGTTTTTCATGTGTTTTTTACAGTTGTATTCACGATTTCTTGGTCTCATTTGATAGTGTAAGATACATCACAGAAATAGAGAAGATTTTGATTGGTTTTAGTACTGAAAATGGCTTGAAACTGAGCTCAGAATAGCAGAAATGTTCAATTTTTGCCAATGTTCAAGAGTAAACAAATGTCCTCACGAGTCTAATACGTGTCAGCTGGTGGGTCTAATATACGTTCGTGAATGTGCTGATATTATTTATACAATTATTACAATATTGCTTAACAGTAAATTATTTTTTGGTGTGAATAAAAATTCATTGTATGAATAAAAAAATCAAAATGAAATTAATTTGTAAAGCCTGAAAATATAACTAATGAACAGAGGAAATGTTAGTTTAGTGCCAGGAATGCCTGCATTGTTTATTCTGGATCCTATTTTGAAATTGGAATATTTTGAACTTTGTGTTAAATCGGCTGAATTACCAATTTTCGATCACTTTGTTGGGTAACTGAAACAGTTGACTGGGTGATTTCTTGTACTCAATCGATAAAATAGAAGTAATACTAGCTAAATAAGTAAGAATTTGGTCGACTGGAATATGGTAATTGGCCTAAAATGGGAGTAAAATTTGGCAAAATCGCCGATGCCTAAATATTGATGATGCATCAAAATTCGCCAGAGCGTAATTTTGTCAATTTTCCATCAAATTTCATACTTTTTGCTTGATTACCTTCAGAATTTTTTTTTTCTACCATTTCATAAGAAAAAATAACAAAAAAATTTGTTGAAAATTCTTGGACCCTGGCTGTCACTCTGAGATTTGGCCTCTGGACCCTGAAAGGGTTAATTAAAGTTCTTGGGGAAGTGAGCGGTGGCCCAGAGGATTGCATCTGAAAGAGTTCCGTGATTTTGGATGAGTCCCTCTCATCGTCCCATGTTTGCTGTTTTCCGTGCTTCATGAGTCTTCACATACTCCCTCAGTTGTTCTCTCTGAGGATGTCCTGTCCCAATCCAAATAGACATGACTGTGCCATCATGTGGTCTTCATCCATGCTTTTCATCATTTTGCCCTGTTCCAAGCAGTATGAGACCCAATAAATAATTTGATCAGGTGCTGCTTGCTTCAGGAAAAGTTTTCAATCCTCTAAAAATTTTCCACTTGCACAATCTGCTCTTTTCTTCCAGTGCACTCTATAATCATTATAATTCTGGGTTCCTCATCTTCCCATCTCCTACTACCTGGGCCTCCCTCACCTGCATGAAGTGCATAGATCATCAGTGATATTCCCCTCTTCTCATCTTTGTCACTAACCTACTGGAATTTTACGACAAGGTGACAGAAGTAAAGCAAGAGAGAGAGAGGTTTGGGTAGACTGCATTTTCTTGGATTGCAAGAAGGCTTTTGACACAATTTCACACAAGAGATTAGTACAGAAGCTAGAGGATCAGGCAGGTTTTACATGAAAGGCACTGCAGTGGATCAGAGAATACCTGACAGGAAGGCAACGAGTCATGGTACGTGATGAGGTTTCAAATTGGGCACCCGTGACGAGTCGGGTTCCTCAAGGGTCAGTCCTAGGATCGGTGCTGTTTCTTGTATATGTGAATGACATGACAGAAGGGATACACTCAGAAGTGTCCCTGCTTGCAGACAATGTGAGGTTAATGAGAATTCAATCAGAAGAGGATCAGGCAGGACTACAAAGGGATCTGGACAGGCTGCAAGCCTGGTCCAGCAACTGGTTCCTCTAATATAACCCGACCAAGTGCAAAGTCATGAAGATTAGGGAAGCACAAAGAAGACCGCAGACAAGGTATAGGCTAGGGGAGGGGGGGGCAAAGACTGCAAACTTCACTCAAGGAAAAGGATCTTGGGGTGAGTATAATACCGAGCATATCTCCTGCGATGCACATCAACCAAATAACTGCTGCAGCATATGGGCACCTGGCAAACCTAAGAATAGCATTCCGACACCTCAGTAAGGAATCAGTCATTACTCTGTACACCGTGTACATCACGCCCATATTAGAGTATGCAGCACCATTTTGGAACCCACATCTGGTCAAGCACATCAAGATTTAGAGAAAATTCAAATGTTTGCAACAAGACAGTCCCAGACAATAGTGGAGGACAGGAGGGATGGGGATATGATGATGACATATAAAATACTGAGAGGAATTGACAAGATGGATAGGGACAGGATGTTTCAGAGATGGGACACAGCAACAAGGGGTCACAGTTAGAAACTGAAGACACAGATGAGTCACAGGGATGTTATCAAACCAAGTCAAGTTTTATTTCTTTGCTAAGGCTACAGTGTGTGTTTACATTTCATAACTTGATTGGTACAAAGAAAGCCACTATTATGCCGAGGCATTTCGGGCAGACTTACTCTAATACTTAAAGACTACATAAGTCTAGACAGGTGAAGAGTAATGGATTACAAATAAGTAGTACATTTTGTGATACAAACATACATTTTTAAGTTTGTAATTAAGTTTGTTTGCTCTATTATTAATATGATGTAGTACAATTAATGATATAGACATACGTTTTTAAGTTTGTAATAATGGCTTAATACAGTGGACCCCCGCATAGCGATATTAATCCGTGCAAGAGAGCTCATTGTTATGCGAAATTATCGTTATGCGAATGAATTTTCCCCATAAGAAATAATGGAAATCTAATTAATCCGTGAAAGACACCCAAAAGTATGAAAAAAAAAAATTTACCACATGAAATATACATTTTCCTACACACAAAGAAAAGGATACATGCACAATAGTAGAGTAGTACATGCACAATATATATTGTGCATGTACTACTCTACTAAATGAAGAATAAATGACACTTACCTTTATTGAAGATGCAGCAATGACTGATGAGACACTGTGTCCTGGGAGTGCCTTTTCCTCCTGAGTACTGTAGGTCCTGTTTGGCATTTTCTTCCAGAACAGGCCTTATCACACTGTGTATGCCACTACGATTCTTAAATCTCTCAAACCAACCTTTGCTGGCTTTAAATTCACCAATATGAGCACTAGTTCCAGGCATTTTTCCCTGTTCACCTGGGTGTTAGTCGACTGGTGTGGGTTGCATCCTGGGAGACAAGATTAAGGACCCCAATGGAAATAAGTTAGACAGTCTTCGATGACACTGACTTTTTTGGGTTATCCTGGGTGGCAAATCCTCTGGGGTTAATTGTTTCTTGGTATTCTCAATAAGCCACACCAACAACGGTGCTACAGCAGCAGCAGCAGCAGCTGACAGTGCTACAGCAGCAGCAGACGATGCTACAGCAGCAGCAGACGATGCTACAGCAGCAGCAGACGGTACTACAGCAGCAGCAGCAGCTGACGGTGGTACAGCAGCAGCAGCAGCTGACAGTG